TGCCTTCCCTCTAGTCTTACACTGCTAAATTAGGGACGGCTAGCGCAGATAGTCCTCGTGAAGCTTTGCGCGAAATTCATAAAAAACAAACTGATATAAATCCCAAGTCTCCTCGTTGAAATTAGAATCGAAACTGTTTGTACTCACTCATATTAAGTGAATTTAAATCTGTCCACTTTATGCACAAAACATTTTATATGGTTGTTTTGTTGTTGTTTTTTTTAAACTGGATTTACAAGCTCGTCGTGTTTAAAACGGTCGCATATTTTATTTGTTAATTCAAATTCAGACTGTACTTCAACGTGCGCACCATACTAAAGTTGTCCAAGTAACAGCAAAGAAGTTCTTTGTGCATTTTCTGATTCACTCCCGTTTTGTACCAAACTAGCGCAAGCATAACAAAATACAGCGTACTTACGTTGAAATTTTATTTTTATTATGGTTTCAACTTAACAATCAGGTTAGGCTTAGCTCAAACCGGAATCCTGCTCCTCTTCACTAGTCAATTTTGAACTTTGGACGTTCTTCACTTCCCTATTTTGATAAATTCGATATTCCGTTCAACGTTATAACAGTTCATTCTATTTATTCTTGTTGGTCTTAGAAACACGAATAATATGTTTTATAAGGAAAAACAACAGTTGTATGACTGAGTTAAATGCCTAAGAATTTTTGAAAGACTTTACATTATGTGAATATTGTTATAAATTATTGTTCAAAAGAATGAAGAAACGCTGGTCAATAAAGTGATAAATTTGAACTACAATCAATCTAGTAAATGAAATGGAAACAGAAGAAGGAAAAAGAGAATGTTTATATAAAGTGTATCCCCTCTAACAGAAAGCCCCCAGTGGCACAACGGTATGTCTGCGGACTTACAACGCTAAAAACCGGCTTTCGATACCCGTGTTGGGCAGAGCACAGATAGCCATTGTGGAGCTTTGTGCATAATTACAAACAAACAATCTAACAGGAAATATGTATTAATAATTGATAAAAGGAAAATAAACAAACACACACGTATATGTGCATGCTGAATAATTTGTTTTGTGTATGTATTATACACCATGCCACTAACTGGCAATAGCAACGCAATATTGTGTTAATTAACTATAATTAATTAACTAATTAACTATAAAAATAATTAATTAAATCAAAAACTAGATAAACAGATTTTGAGACACAACTGAGACATTTTTAGAAGAGTTCGTTTATCTTATATTATTGAGTAAAGCATTCCAATATTGTTCCGCTACATAAGTTGTTGAACTTTGACCTATTGATTTTAAAAGGTGCTATGTGTGAACCAACATTACTTCTTGTACCATGGCAATTTACGTTCCTGTTATTTTTGAAAAAAATATTTGAAGACTGGGTATATTACTTTTTTAAATCGTAAAAGTAAAATTACCTAGTAAATAATCAAATATTTCATGAATATTTAATATTTTCTGTTTATGAAATAACTGATACACAGAATCCCGATAGCTTAATTCAAAATTACTCTCATAAGTCGTTTTTTTTTGAAGAAGCAACCAAGGATTTATGTTATATTCTGATGAACTTCCCTAACAAGAATTTGACTATATTAAATGTATACAAATATAATAAAAAGTTATTAAACATTTCTCATTAACTAATGTTTTTTGTTTGTTTATTATAGTTAAATCTATATATCTTGCAACATTTTCTCTAACATTTCTTATGTGCTGTTATGTATTAGAATTTTGAATAGTCCGAAGCCAAGTTAACTGATAATTTTAATTTAGTAGTTAAATTGTACTTTGGATTTGGTATTTAAATAAATGCCGATATATAGTCAATTCACGATATTTGCCAACAAGATTCATACATTCCGTCTTCGTTTTTAACACAAATACGTTTTAACATAAAAACAACAATAAAATTTATAGTAACAATTATTACAAATAGTTCTTACAAACAAAGATTTATAAACAAAAGTTTCACACATTTACAAACAATATAAAATCTTCTTTCTAGTTTGGAACTCCCTTGATATCTTATCGAGGGTTTACGATGAGCGAGTTAGTTACGGGTTGATGTAAGTACGATTTGCCGGGAAGCTAGTTAGCTTTGTCCTTGGCCACACACACAAGGTTTTCCACCGTTGAATTTATATAATGTCTTCGTAAAAATATTAATGTCCGATGAGAATCCACTGAAGTTGACGATTTGTAATGCTTGAAATTTATAAATATTCCTGGTCGAATATCTTAAGTTTTCCGATTGATAAGCGTTATATCAATCTCAGTTATAGCTTTCAAAGTTTATAGCACACTGATTATAATAATAATAGATACTCTTCTTGGCGCGTCGCGTTAGTTATATTTATAGCCGTGGGGAGGTTTTCTAGAAAATTCAGTCTTACGTAACAATACTGGTTAAAGCGTTTATGTATATAGATATATTGTTGATTCTTACTCTCGAAAATCTTCTACAACTTTGGAGAAAAGGCGGGAGTTTCGCAATGCCTTTCTAGCATTATAAGCTATGTATGTTTCTAAATATAAACGTAGTCTAAACAATGTTCATATTAAAATAAATACATAACAACAAATTCGTTACAGTGCTCACTCTAGTTTAATTTATCACCATTTGTAATACCCAACAACTTAGCTGATGAACATTTTTTCAAGCAATACTCTATTCATACTGTAGATACTATATATCCAGTTTTGTTTCCTTCCTTTTTTACGATCCATATTTCCAGACTTTAAATTATAGATTTTTCATTTATCTTGTTTGCTGGGTTTTTTCATGCTCAACTATGGGCAAAGGATTACTTGGTACGGTAGATAACTTTATATATTTTAATGATAACAAACATAGCTAGTAGCTAGCTGATACGGCCCATGATAATTTACTGTAGCTATTGACTATTTGATCGCATTAGTTCGAGATGTAAAATGTTAAACTGCAACTGGAAATTGTCAGGAAGATTTGTTTGAAAATATAGTGAGAATTTATAGTTTCTGTGTAACTCAATTCTCTATATATAACGCATAGCAATGGAAATATATATATATATACCTCGACTAAGACACAACCCCCACTAAGCTCGTATAAACTTTCACCCGCAGAAAAGCAGCCTTTTCAAATAAAACATACGCCTAAAACATCGCTTTAAATAAACCTTCGTGTCTTTTAAAGTAATTATTCTACGAATGTGAGTAATAATATTTAATATTGTGTGTACTGATTTCTTTTACTCCTTCACTTCATACATAATATATGGGTTGACTACAGTCATCTAATGTTCGTCTGTTATTGGCTGGTAATTCTAGATTCACTCTGTATTTAAGCAATTTTAAAGGAACACCAAATTTCTGTACAAAAGCTAACTTCAAGGGATAATGATAACATCGTTTACACTAGAATTATGATGTCTTTTAGCTTGTGTAAAATATAGAAGAAACAAATCGACTTTTCAATACCTCTTTGACCATCGCGGTGTCTTATTTAGTATTCTACAAAATGTTTGGGCGCAATATATTAAGCTGTTTTTATTGTAACAATAACAAGAAGAATTATAAACAGGCCATTTTTAGCAGATTTTCTTTTCCTTGGAAGTCTAGCATACGTGCTTTTTTGTGCATTTTTATATGTGTACAACCTTAACAGTCAGTAGTAAAGGTTTTTAAGTGTTCCTTGAACTGAATCTTTGATATTTAAGGTGCGTTTTGCCCCAACGTTATATTAGGGTTTTGTATAATTCCTTGCTATCCCTATTATGGTTCATGATAAATTTTTAACTTACTGTTAGCATTTTCACTTTTATTCTGAAAAGTATAAAATAAGAACACAGCTAAATATATATATACAAGAAGGCGATCTTGCAATGTTGACCTAAAAAACATGTTGGGCTTTTTTAAGTTTGATAATAAAATAATTTTAACCTTTTTTTCGAACAGATTTGATACATTGTTCATACCTTTAATTCTAAGTCATCATAACATCATAATAGACAACGTAGATAAGTCTAAATGTAAGACAAAGTTTTTCCTATTCTTTTAACTTTCTCTGTTATCACTTAGATTTTCTAAGGCATTCTGGACCCGGCATGACCAGGTGGTTAGGGCGCTCGACTCGCAATCTGCGGGTCGCGGGTTCGAATCCCCGTCACACCAAACATGCTCGCTCTCTCAGCCGTGGGGGCGTTATGATGTGCGGTCAATCCCACTATTCGTTGGTAAAAGTATAACCCAAGAGTTGGCGGTGGGTGGTGATGACTTCTCTCTAGCCTTCCTTCTAGTCGTACACTGCTAAATCAGGGACGGCTAGCGCAGATAGCTCTCGTGTGGCTTTGCGCGGAATCCATAACAAACAAACAAGGCATTCTGCATTAGATAAATACCGGTTTCAATTTTAGTAACGGGATTGTTGATGCAAAGTAAACGAGAAAAGCAGAAAGAAATATATTTTTTTCGATATGTTGAAGATAAGTACAAATCTAATTGAACTTTGATTATTCATGAAGGGTTTGAAAAGAAACTACCGACTTATTTGCAACTCCTGCTCAACATTCTTCTCACTTACACAATTGTGATTTGGGGTGACATCTTTATGTACCATAATCTCCAGAAATGATAAATGTAGTCCTTGGTTAAAAAAAGAAATATATTTTATGTTCTATTTCAATCATACTTTGTTCGAATGTACTTTATTGAATTCTTACTAAGAACCTAATATTAAGAAAACTACAGCTATGGTTTGTAGTATAGTTAACTATATATTTACAATTATGAAGTGCACAGGTTAACATGATTATATATTGGCTCAATATTTAAGTCGTGTTTGGTTCAATGTTGGCTATAGTCTTCAAGTGAATATTAAGATGTTATGTCTCTTGATTTAATAATGTGTTATTCATTTCGGCCCAATACTGGGCCATTTCCTACCTCAAGTCATAATAACAACCATAAACTTTTGTGTCTTTCTTCTCCACTTTGATAAATGGAAATATTGATCTGACTTTCCAGACCGATTCAAGTGTCGGGAAAGTTGGCCAAACGAGGCAACAGAAAAACTTTTCAACATTTTTCTAGATGCTCTCCTGCTGGTCACTCCACTACTGATTATGGTAATAACTTATTCGCTTATCACCATCACCCTCTGGCGAGCAATGCTCCCTCTAGGCTCTAGGACAGAAGGTAAGACGAACTGTTGATTACTTCAACTGTTGCTTTACAGAAAACTAGAATTCGATTTTTGTTGCATCCTATAATAATATGAATAATAATGGCTCATCTTAGAATACTAGATACTGTTGCGAGTAGATAAAATCTAGATTCTGTTTTGTCCGTTTTCCACTAGAAGATGGCTTAGTCTTGTTTTTACAGTAATTCGCCAAATAAAAAGTTTAGAGTTTATTCGTTACGTATCCTACGACGTTTTATTTTTTCTCGTTTATTATTAGCTTTATTTCTACAGTAACTCATTAGGCCACATTAGGTTTGATAAGTTCTTAGCGAGTAGGTTATATTTTTGCTCTCTTAACATAAAAAGTAAGTTTGTTTTTATAGTAACTCAACAATGTGTCAACACAAAAGACAATTTTTAGTAAGGGATAACTTTAAAAGCATTTTTCAAGCATTAAATTCTGTTACTTCTCGTGCTCAAGTGAAGCGATATATATATATATATATGCATAAACAATAATACATTTACATCTACATAAAAATCCAAATTATATAACATTCATCTAAGTTTGTAAATTTTCCAAATACAAGATGTGTCTAAAAATATTGTTGATATAAATTCTATTTTCTCAGACATAGTTAATTTTTCAGACCAGTTCTTTATAGAAATTGGATGTTTTCAGCTAGTTTTTTTTACAAATAGGTTCCTAATAGAAATACGATTACCTCACGGTTAGCTGTTTTTCCTCAAAAAACGCTGGATTTAGATGGGGTTATCTCGGAGCTGGTTGTTTTTATTGGGTTTTCTTTGTCATAAGTTGTTTATAGAAATTTGGTTATCTCGAAGTTATTTGTGTTTTCAGGTACCTGTTTTCTCAGATAAGTTATTTGATAACAATCTTAAGATCTTTTAAACTATACCTTAACATAAAACATGTTCCTTAGCTCGTAAGGTATTGACTACTAATGATATCAAAATGAAGTTGTTTCTGTTCAGTTATTAAACACTTAAATATTGGATTTTTATTCCTGACGTTTCGTGGATACGAAATTATATATGCTAGGTATTTTCTACAACTTAACAAGTCTATATAAAATTGAAATTTATTGATTTAAAAATATGTTTATTTTGTGTGTATTGATAAAAATTATTCTAAGATTTGCATTTTTACCTAAAAACACTAAAAAGGAATAGCTCTTCAAGATGTTAGAGACGTCCAACAACCGTTGACAACAAGGTGCACAACTGTTTGTGGTAATCTACATAGAACCAGTAACAATGCTTCACGTTCCAGAGTTCATCAAAACATAGGTGAAAGAGACTTTTATACCATACACAGTGTGAATAATCACAAGAGATCTCTAGCTCAGAAGAAACGTGTGATTAAGATGCTTTTTGTTGTTGTATTAGAATTCTTTATTTGTTGGACTCCAATACACGTCATCAATACAGTTAGCCTATTTAACCCTACAGGAGTTTACGGAGGTCTTGGCTATCACGGCATTTCTTTCTTTCAGTTATTAGCCTATACGTCTTCTTGTTGTAATCCAATCACTTACTGTTTCATGAATTCAAATTTTCGTAAAAGCTTCCTAACCATTTTTGGTTGTAAGTCTAACAGATGGCACGTACAGTTTTCTGGCAGTATATCTGGTACTTTCAAAACAGCAGTTAACCACGCGAGAGTGTCCGATAGAGCTTTTTCAACAACCTAGCGTCAGGAATATTAAACAAAGCTGACACTAATTTTTGATTTTAACAATAATAATAATAATATTTCTGTCTAAACAAGAAAGTCCAAATTTAGTCGTCTTATGTGAGAATGCTCTGAACGCTTTTGGACTATCAAAAATGTAAACAATCATGCCCCCTCGGGACAACATTGGCTTAAACATAAATGATAAAACCTGAAAAATGTTTCTACGAATAGATTCTTGACTTTTAAAAAAAGAACATCTCAGAAATGAAACTGAACCAAATAGATAACGACTAAAATACTTCACCAGTCATTAAAAAATATATATCATTGCATGTGGTCGCTTAAACACCCTTCTTTTGTTATACATTCAGTGATTATATTTGTAAAGTATGCCTAAGTCCTGTGTGCAGCATGCCTAAGTCTTGTGTGCTGTATGCGTAGATGTAGGTTGTAAGCTTTCATTTTAAAATGTAAATGTATAACTTGTATAAGGTGCGACATAATGTTTAAAATTCTTCCAATTGTTTTCATGTTTCGTATTTAATACTGTGTTCATGTAAATGGAAAATTCTTTGCACCAACGTTTCAGAGAATTAGACTACAAGCTCAAAGTTCTCCCATTTATAGCTATAACTTTGCATTGATTTGTACTTTAAATCTAGAGTCTTCTCCTGCAAGTATTCTTTAATTAATAAGAGATTCGATGAAGCCAAAATGTTGTAAAAAACGTTCTACTCAACATAATCCCAAATATTCAAATAGCTCAGATAGTGTTTGATTCAATTCGAGATACTATTCCCATCTTCCTCTCCTTCCCCTTTTCCTTGAAATTGAATCCGCTGACATCAGGAAATGAATATTATTTGTATTGAAATATGGGAGGGTTTAAAGGGATGACATACTAGGTAATGTTTCCCAAGAACGAGATATCTACACTTATACAGCAATTTTGGCAAAATACATAATCCCAATAACATTTAATGTAAATAGAATGGGATGAGGTTTTCAAACAGAAATTTGTAAAGACAAATAGTTCAAATGGCACTTAAGGTAAACATGACTGCCGGGTCCATATCTTTACCAAGAGAGGGGAGGATATAGTTTACCCTAAAATATTCGCGTAAAATTATCTGATGATCAAGTAGCAAAATTTATATAGGTATTATTTGGTATTAAAAATGTTAACTGTTGTGGTATTCTCAGGTACGCAGATGTAACTTAAAATAATCAGGTAGGTTCCACAAAGCAGCACCAGCTCCGCCAGAACATATATTATGGAGTAGATCTGAATTCTCTGACCTCGACTGAGTCGAAGAAAAGAAAAGAATTCCACAAAACGTAGAACATAGATAAAAAAAATTTATTGAATTCTAAAACTATCAAGTTTAAACAAATGAACCATGGTGCGTCTTTACTGGAAAGGCTCTTTAGTGTATCTTAAACCTGAATCTATCTTCAATATTACTCCAAGCTCTAATACTATACCAAACTGAAAAAACATAGCATTAGATACGTTAAACAATAATTCCATTCTTCTCAGGTCGTAGGCACTACCCACATGACTAATGGTCACTCTCACTACAAAATAGTGGTGGTTGTTACCTTGAGGTATCACTTGACTTACCAGTGAAAAAGATCACTGTCTACTTCAACATAACATTCACAGGAAACATTCCCATGAGAAAATTCGTGTGATACTCTAGTTCAACGACAAGTTCAGTAAGTAGCTAGGGCAAGGGAAACTTGATGGCTCCCTTGACTGACGCCTCCCCAGTGGTACAGCGGTATGTCTGCGAAGTTACAACGCTAGAAACCGGGTTTCGATACCCGTGGTGAGCAGAGCACAGACAGCCCTTTGTGTAGTTTTGTGCTTAACTACAAAGAAACAAACAAACCCTTAACTGACATTTCATATTAAGGCTTCTGTTAATTGGTGAGAAAAACGTAGTATTCCTGCATACCACACTGTTAATACATACAATATATTTCAACAGTTACAACACTTTGAAAACGACTAATAATGTTAAAACAAGTTTTCATAATTTGTGCACATATATATGTGTGCAGAGAGAGTATTTATGTATACATGTATATATATGTATATATAGGTGTATTTCTATTTTAGTCTTTTGACCAGTATATTCTTCTCTTACCAAATTATAATATTGACCTATGTTGATCTTTTATCAGCTTACCTATAGTTAGAAGCATGTTTTACTAAAAATTAATATATTTTGTACGATATGTGAAATAACTACATATATATATATATATTACCGAATTTCTTTGTTTAACAACATTTTGATTTTAGAATTTTATTATCTGAAGGCCAGAACAAAATCTTTAGTGTCGTTTATCCGTTTATAATATTTGTTTACTTCAGTTGTCACTAATATTTCTTACTTGTATTATTAATTAAGACTAACTGTTACATCACAAACTGTTTTGTAGGTTTATATGTCGTGTTTACATAATACGTACGTGAAATATTGTTTCTGGATAATTGTATATTAGTTCAGTTTACTTGGTCAGTTATTGTATGATACATAAATAAAATGATTCTCCAAAACATTTTGGCCCTGTGAATAAATTTTTGTGAATAATTTCACTAAAACTATGTCACAATCCAATGTTTAGTGATATCGTACCAACTAGTAATTAATTAAAGATAAAAGCTAAAATATTATTAAAGTAAAAGAAGATTTTTTATTTGTCTTATTATATGCCAACTTATACAGCAGCAACAGGTATTATTTTAATATTTTTTGGAATTAAACTCACTACAACATTTTCCACATCGCAAATGATACATATTAATGAATCTAAAGATAGAATACATAACAACATTTTATATTCTCGTGGGTTACTGGAAGGAGACATTGTTTTCAAGCAAGTTTCAAAATAAGTGGATGAAAACCGGTAAAATTATTCCCGTGAATTCCAGTCCTCTACCCAAGTCTTCTAATAAACAAGCTTTTGTAGGATTAAGTGGCTAGATCTCAGCACATAATAACTAATCCCCAAGATTTTTGTGAAATCACCAATGCTGTAGAAATATTTATAAATATTCATCGTTATAAGAACAACTACTTTTATGATATGAATATCTTGTTTCTAGCGAAATGTAATTGTCATGAATCATATAAATGCCATAAGACAATAGTAATAGAATTAGTGTGTTTTTAAGCGCTACAGCCTTTATGTGGTCCCTAAGGGTTTAAAGAGTGTAAAATAGCACTGCCTTGTCTATTGCCGATGACACGTTTTACTCAATACCAGCCCCCCACCCCCCAGTGGCACAGTGGTATGTCTGCGGACTTATACTGCTAGAAACCGGGTTTCGATACCCGTGGTGGGCAGAGCACAGATAGCTCTTGTGTAGCTTTGTGCATAATAACAAACAACAAAACAACAACTCAATACCAGAGCTCATCAGGCCAGCTTGGATACAATAGACACAAAATTGGTCGAAACGCTATTTTGTGGCTTATATAATATGATACTAACTAACTGTCCTTCATGTAACGGTAAGTTTTGATTAATATTTCCTCTGAGAATTAAATCTAAACAAATGTTTTGTGAACATGTTTTCTAAAAATTAATTATATTGTAGTAACAATATACATATGGAAAATGTTTATCCTTTTCTAGTATTTCACGAAAACAATATTATTTTATGCATATTTGGTCATTTTCTGTAAGTTGTCCTTGATTGGAACAATAACTTATGTTAATTTTTATCTTATGTTCAAAGCTTCTTTTTTATAAAGCCTTATAGATCGAACCATGCGAAAAAAACTGGTTCTCAAAGGAATATTTCTAGATCGTCAAATTTCTGACCTTGTGATTTATTAATAGTGATGGCAATGGCAATGTATTTTATGGTGAAGGAGAAATTTACAAAGGTGTAACTTTTCATTAAAATGCTTGTACATTTTTACAAATGTTTGCAAAATCTCTTACAGAAGGTGAAAACATCGAATTATAATGAGTTGTAGTGATATCTATTGTGTTGAAAAGCCACTTAAGTTGTTTTTACACATACAGTCACTGGTGTATATTGTGTTATATTATGTTATTCCTTATTTAATCTATAATTGTATTCGTGTTTTTCTAAATATTCAAAGATTGTGTTGTAAGTATGACAATAAATATGTAATAATAGAACATTAACATAAAATCCCAATTTTGAACTCGAAACTTCCACCTGATAGTCAAGCTATATAATTACTGTTACACCCAGTCTTTGTAACTGAGTTTTAACAAATAATCCAAATTTCTAATGTAAACTACCATATTATTGTTTTCCCGAATACTGTAATATATTGTTCTAAACATGAGGAATTAATAATTTAAAAAAAGTTTTAAAAATCTGGTATTTAAACTCAAGACTTCTACTTGAGACAAACTACTGAGCCAATTTGAACGTTACCAACAAAGAGTCGAGCGTTACCAACAAGGGTGAGCGTTCGGAACAGAGAGTAACTTTTATTATATAGAAGATGATATGTGGGATAGTTAGACTGCACTGAAGTGTTTCAAAGATAGTATTCAAGAAAAAACTAAGTGCTATTTTCAAGAAATTTTTGTTCACTTGCTGCAAAGTGCAAAGCTGGTATCTGCGCCTACTGCATGGATTGAATCACGAATTTTATATTTTGTACTATAATCTTTCAAGTTCACTAATGAGCCACTGAGGGAACATGTTAGCTAATGAAGGCACATCCATTGATAATTAGTTAAGAACGTTATGAATAACTGTACTGTATCGCATTTAGTAATTCTAGTACTTCAGCACTGTCTGACTGCCACTCATCTCATGTTTATCATACCAGTCCCCAGTGACACAGCTGTATGTTTGCGGACTTGCAACGCTAGAAACCGGATTTCGATACCCGTGGCGGGCAGATAGCCCACTGTGTAGCTTTGTGCTTGATATCAAACAAATAAAAACTATTGTTGAAAAAAGCAGTCATAATCATGGATGATATACCTAACAAAAAATTACTCAAATGA